GTTGTGTCGGCCGGTAAATCGAAAGTGGAACTGACCCAGTGTGATGGCGCATGTACGGTGGGGGAAGTGGTGTCGTACCTCGGAGCTTATTTAGAATTTAATATTGATGCTGATACAGAAGAGCAGTCGGCAACTGCCATTGCGAAATCCGACGCATTTACAATTTTAATGTCGGGATTTTCGAAAGCAACAATGACAAGGTCACTGTAATTAAAAGAGGACGATATGTGAAAAAGTAATGTGGTGTGTATTCATACCAAAAGTTAGTACAGATATATATGTGGACTGAACAGTGAAATGGTGTTCAATGTGTATACTGCATACTCAAAGTTGTTATTAACAAAAAAATAAAGATAAATGTACACTGAACATGCGCCTTTATTGCACTATTTTAACACATTTGCAACCATTTCAAATTTTAGGAAAAATAAAATTCGCCCCCCCCCCCCCCCCCCAATTTTGAAAAGAATTTGGATGAGAATCTAGCAATTAATTTATTATGGCCTAACATAAATAATTACAAATTCATCAAAAAGTAACGATCAAAGTAATATGTCATGTTTCTTCTGTAAAATTATGTTTAATTGCCACAACTTCATGTAACGGTAGGTTTTATTAGTTGGCAATCGTATTTTGCCCTCGTTGAAAACATGTTTACATTTCCCAAAAGTAAACACTCCAATACGAAGCATCGGTGTCGGATGGGCTACTCATTAACATCTCAATCAACAGCACTAGTTTTAGATTGTTGACATAGTTAATCCCTTAATGTACATAGAGCCCAAGACTATTTGTTTACAATGTACAGCCAGTAGCTATAGTACCCTCAGCCTACCAATATATAGTCTACCTGTACAGCTAGCCTACTGCACAGTAATCGTTTCCAACAGGTGCGTCTTTAATTTATTTCCTTGAATCGTTAAGGTTTGTATCGAAATTAATGTGATTGAAAAGATACTTCAAAACGCCTTAATATATCAATCACTTACTTCATTTGTTTTTCCTGTTTAATCTCCGCTCTTATTTTCTCCAGCTCGAAGTCGCCAACCACCTCGACCGCCATTTTGACTCTTTCAGTATCTATGGGACGTGACGTCACGAAATGATCACGATCGCCAGAGCGCTTTTGACAAGGTGATTGGAAAGTGACAATTCTCTCCCCTATCTTATCCTATCATCATATAGTAAACTGCGCGTTGCAAAATATTCAAATTCAATATGAGAATAGATCTCTTTCAGCTTTGTATACCAGTGCTAACTATTTGAATAAGATGACTCGGATACACCAAACTATAAAAAAAAACTGTTATCTCCTTCATTGGCTAGTCACAAATGCTAGCCATACTGTACATTTTATTAGTTTCCTTCTATTATTTAACTCCAAGAATGGCTATACTATATAGGCCTAGCATATGTTAAGTTAGGACGTGCTTAAACTTTTTGAACATATTAAAACCCTTTCAATTATCAATGGTGCATATATGAGTCTGACCAGATTGTGTAACTGAGTCGGCTAAAACTGACCAGAAACCACAGGCTTTCAAATGTTTAGGCCGAAAAACTAATATATTTGCTTGGAACAGGTAACATGACTGAAAACATAGGATAGGTCGGATTTCCATTAAATATCTATTTTAGGGAAGGGTGGGGTGATTTAAGAACTTACAAAAATCACCAAACAAAGTTATTCAGGCCTGTTGTATTCATTTTTAATTTTGTTTTTAGGTCTTTTATAAATACTGATTGAGATAGAGAGGTGTCATCAAGTTGTTAATGATTTTCGGCACCTTTTATATGTGACGTTTAAGTGCATTCGAGTGTGAAAAAAAGTAGTAGGATATCGGAGGTTAAAAACTAGGACGAGTTGGGGTACCTTAAACATACATATTTTTTTGCGGGGCCTTATCGATGGTACTGGCTTTGATCAGCCCAATTGGCACGGGAAGTTTTTTTTATGCTGTCCATTTTCATGCCTGCGAGTGATGGAATACTACTTATAAAATAATTTAGCACGCGTTCAATTAACTAAAGCGAGTGTTGTTAACCAATTTTGTAAGACAGGAATTGCATAAAGAAAATTTCTCTTTGCCTAATTAGGTCAGACACTAGCATTCCCTACTAACGTGTGTGAAGCTGTTGCCAGGTATCCATTTTGTGTAAATAGTGTAATAATTGCATAGCGAAATAATGACACATCATCATTATATATTAAGTATGTGTGGATAAACAATTTCGGAGAGCACATACATCGCGTGTGAACGATTAAACCTTTTTTTATTGTACGTATATATATATACCGGTAAGCATCTGACCTTCATCATATATCAGTCCATCCTTGGTAGAGCGAAACTTTAAACTTTTGTTTTAGAGTTAATTTATCAGCTCGATCTAAATTATGTTTGTGTATATTTGATTGCTATATATAACGTGGCACAAGTTGTAACTTATATACACACAGACACACATATTTAATTCTGACTATATAGGACTAGCAAAACCTCTACAGTCAGCTCAGTACAATGGAAAGAAAATATATATTTTATATAATTAGTATGACCTTAAGCTTATCATGGACATATCACATACAATTGTTACCTGTGGTCTATCAGTGTCTAATACTAACTATAATTCATCGGTCTTTTATTTTTCGTTAGATATTTATTAGTATAAAATGCAATATATATCAGGACTTCAGATTTATTATATTTTTGGTGAGGTGTTTATATTACTTAACAGTATATATCGGAATTCAGAAATCTTGCTTTTGAATCCACAAAATATGTTCTAAACTTCTTCATTAGATTAAATGCTTACCCTCTACTGTATTTGTGTATATGTAAGTTGTAGACGTACATACTTAAGACGGCATACAGCTGAATAGTCTAATCAGAGTTTTAAATCGTCCCGGTGCTTCCGCCCTCACAGGAAAACGCTGAGTAGATCATCGAATCGGGGGTTAAGTAGACCCGAAACAATCCGTAGTAAAACTTACACATATAAATTGCACTTATTTTTGTGAACACACGACCTGAGCCCATGTTTTGCAATACAGTGCATACAGTGATACAGTGTTACACACTATAAGATACTCAAAGTGACTAATCATAAAAAAACACGTGTGAGACTTACCACGAAAAATGTGACTAAGACATTAAAATATAAATGTAAGCTAGGAAAATCCAGAATGTCAGCACTGCATGTATAAATCGATGATTAAATTTTGACAACGCTTCTATATAATAGACATGTTTATTAACATTTCTGTCTAATATGTTATTTTTATTTTTGTTTAAACTAACATGTTTATACACAATCATGCAGCATTGTTTGATCCAGATCGATGTGTACCGATGTAACTACAGCAGTGTGACGTCATCAGTAATACGAGCACTTCTACCTTGTTTCAGTGCCAACATAGCAATGTTCTTGTTCTGTCGGAGTGTCTCATCGAAAAAATACTGCACTAGAAAGACCAGTACATAGTGTGGCACAACGTGAGAAGATACATCTGTATGTAAAACAGACGTCAAAGACCAACATCATCCTTTGTTCAATTTATACCAAAAATCCCAACTTATATTGTACAGCTAATGTACGGCAAAAAAACCACTTGTATTGTACAGCCAATGTACGTCAAAAATTCCCACTTACATTGCTCAGCCAATGTACGTCAAACATTCCCTCTTGTTTTTACAGCCAATGTACGTCACACATTCCCTCTTGTATTGTACAGCCAATGTTCGTCAAACATTCCTTCTTGTTTTTACAGCCAGTGAACGTCAAACATTCCCTCTTGTTTGTACAGCCAATGTTCGTCAAAACTCCCGAATTGTATTGCACAGCCAATGTACGTCAAAAATCCACACTTGTATTATACAGCAAATGTACGGCAAAGCTCTCCACTTGTATTGTACAGCCAATGTATGTCAAAACTCCCCACTTGTATTGTACAGCCCATGTTCGTCAAAAATTACCTCTTGTTTTTACAGCCAATGTATATCAAACATTCCCTATTGTTTTTACACCCAATGTAAGGCAAAACTCCCCACTTACATTGTTCAGCCACAATGTACGGCAACCTCCCAACTTGTATTGTACAGCCAATGTACGGCAAAACTCCCCACTTTCATTGTTCAGCCAATGTACGACAAAACTCCCCACTTGTATTGTACAGCCAATGTACGGCAAAACTCCCGAATTGTATTGCACAGCCAATGTACGTCAAAAATCCACACTTGTATTATACAGCAAATGTACGGCAAAACTCTCCACTTGTATTGTACAGCCAATGTATGTCAAAACTCCCCACTTGTATTGTACAGCCAATGTTCGTCAAAAATTACCTCTTGTTTTTACAGCCAATGTATATCAAACATTCCCTATTGTTTTTACACCCAATGTAAGGCAAAACTCCCCACTTACATTGTTCAGCCACAATGTACGGCAANAAAATCCCCACTTACATTGTTCAGCCAATGTACGGCAAAACTCCCCACTTATATTATACAGCCAATGTACGGCAAAACTCCCCACTTTCATTGTTCAGCCAATATACGGCAAACTCCCAACTTGTACTGTGCAGCCAATGTACGGCAAAACTCCCCACTTGTATTGTACAGCCAATGTACGGCAAAACTCCCCACTTGTATTGTACAGCCAATGTACGGCAAAAATCCCCACTTACATTGTTCAGCCAATGTACGGCAAAACTCCCCACTTATATTATACAGCCAATGTACGGCAAAACTCCCCACTTTCATTGTTCAGCCAATATACGGCAAACTCCCAACTTGTACTGTGCAGCCAATGTACGGCAAAACTCCCCACTTGTATTGTACAGCCAATATACGTCATAACTCCCCACTTACATTGTACAGCCAATATACGTCATAACTCCCCAGTTACATTGTACAACCAATGTTCGTCAAAATTAGAATTCAGAATCATTTATGTGAATATCTCATAAGAATTTATCACAACAATATTTCATGTTTTGTTCAGAATTTCATCAAAACCACTACACTATAAATACACTGACTACACCCCCTCCACCTAGCTTACTCACATCAGTATAGGAACACCTCCCCCTAGCTCTACTCACATCAGTATAGGAACACCACCCCCTAGCTCTACTCACATCAGTATAGGAAC